CAATCTGATTTCAGTATTGACCATCTGGTGATGTCCAAGTGTTGTCTTGTGTTATTGGAAGAGGGTGTTTGCTATGACCAGTGCGTTCTCTTGGCAAAACTCTATTAGCCTTTGCCCTGTTTCACTCTGTACTCCAAGGCCAAATTTACCTGTTACTCCAGTGTTTCTTTTCTTCCTACTTTTGCATTCCAGTCCCCTATAATGAAAAGGACATCTTTTCTGGGTGTTAGTTCTAAAAGGTCTTGTAGGTCTTCATAGAACCGTTCAACTTCAGCTTCTTCAGTGTTACTGGTCAGGGCATACACTTGGGTTACTGTGGTATGGAATGGTTTGCCTTAGAAACAAACAGAGATCATTCTGTCATTTTTGAGATTGCATGCAAGTACTGCATTTCGGACTCTTTTGTTGACTATGATGGCTACTCCATTGCTTCTAAGGGATTCCTGCCCACAGTAGTAGATATAATTCTGAGTTAAATTCACCCATTCCAGTTCATTTTAGTTCACTGATTCCTAAAATGTCGATGTTCCCTCTTGCCATCTGCTGTTTGACCACTTCCAATTTGCCTTGATTCATGGACCTAGCATTCCAGGTTCCTATGCTATATTGCTCTTTACAGCATCGGGCCTTGCATCTATCACCAGTCACATCCACAATTGGGTGTTGGAAACAAAGCTTTGGATTTGTCTCTTCATTGTTTCTGGAGTTACTTCTCCACTGATCTCCAGTAGCATATTGGGCACCTACTGACCTGGGGAGTTTATCTTTCAGTGTCCTATCTCTTTGGCTTTTCATACTGTTAATGGGATTCTCAAGGCAAGAATACTGAAGTGGTTTGCCATTCCCTTCTCCAGTGGACCACATTTTGTCAGAACTCTCCACCATGACCCATCTGTCTTGGGTGTCCCTACACGGTATGGCTTAGTTTCATTAAGTTAGACAAGGCTGTGGTCCATGTGATCTGAAGTGCAGAGAATAACAAAAAATTTAAAAAGCAGTCTGCAGGACTAGGGAGTCACCAGAATCCAAGGAACAGTTCAGGGATTGAAACAGTCAACAAACCAATTTACATAAATTGGAAAATGATTACTGGTCCTAACATAGGGTCATCAGAAACTGTGGGGAGTAATCACAGAAATCAAATACAGTATATTAATGACTAGTGAGGATTCAACAGACACAAGTCATGGGAGCTAATATAGCACCAGCATATATCATTATGGGGGGCTCATGGGAGTCAGACACTGTACTGGTGACTAATAGAAGATCATCGGAAACCATGAAGGGTCTAATGGTAGGGGAGGCTCTAATGAGGCCCAGGTATTATGCTGGGGCTCATGAGGATAATACGTTGTATTAGAGGATGAAGAACTGGCATCCACAGGATTGAGGGTAGCAAATAGGCTGATGCTTAGATGGAGACAAAAATCACATTAGTGGTGGCTAATGGCTAATCAGCAGGGTGATAAAGTACTAATATGAGATCAGCAGACACTAATCAGATTTTTTATGAGGACTCAAAGACACTCTGCTAATCATGAACAAGATTAGCAGACACAGTGACGACACATTAATATAGGACGAGCAGCAGTTACTGTGAAAAAACATGAGGCAAAGACTAAACTAGTGGCTGGTAATCATCTGTCCCAGTGTTGAGGCCAGTATAGGGTTAGCAAATATGGAGATGGGCTGTAATGTGTGGTCAGCATGCACTGAACTGGCCCATCATTGCATTCAGATACTGTATTAATGGCTAATGGGGAATCAACTGGCACAATGATGATGGTTAATGCAGGATCAGCAGCACTGTGATTGTGACTTACGAAGGTCAGAGACATTGTACTCATTGCTAATGGGTGGTCAACAAGGTTAAGACTAGTGTGGAATCAGCAGATACTGTGCTGGAAGCTCCTGGAGGTTAGTCTCTGATCTTATGGCTAATTGGGGATCAGCAAATACATTGTTGGAACTTCATGCATACTGAAGAAACTGTACTGCTGCCTAATTGAAGATCAACAGACACTGTGATGGGAGCTAATGTGGGGTCAGCAAACTCTATGGCTTCAATGGATCAAAGACACAATGCTGCTGCGGCTGTTCAGTCACTAAGTTGTGTCCAAGTCTTTGCAACCCCATGTACTGAAGCTCTCCAGGCTCTTCTGTCCATGGGATTTTCCAGGCAAGAATACTGGAGTTGGTTGCCATTTCCTTCTCCAGGGGATCTTCCCCACCCAGGGATCAAACTCATGTCTCCTGCACTGGCTGGTGAATTCTTTACCACTGAGCCACCCTGGGAAGCCCCAAAGACACAATACTTTCAGTTAAAGGTGGGGGAAGAGGACTCAGCAGCAGACACAGGGATTTGGCTACTGTAAGAACAAAAAACATGGTAATGGGTCCTCAAGGAGGTCATACTCTGTATGGGTGTCTACAAATCAGAAGACTAATGTGTGATCAGCAGATACACTGATGATGGGGGCTATTTAGGGGTCTTTAGGGAAAGAACTTGGAACTTAGTAAATGGGGATCAGAAGATAGAATGACAAGGTCAAGTTCTACAGACATTGTGCTGGGGCTCAAGAGGATCAAAGTCTATTGGTGACTAATTAGGGAACAGCAGATAAATATTGATGTAACTATGCTGCATTGTGGGTTCATGAGGTCAAAGACACTGTCAAAGTGAAGTGAAAGTGTTAGTCGCTCAGTCGTGCCAAACTCTTTTCGACCCCATTGATTGTAGCCCACCAGGCTCCTCTGTCCATGGAATTCTCCAGGCAAGAATACTGGAGTGGGTAGTCATTCCCTTCTCCAGGGGATCTTCCTGTCCCAGGGATCGAACCTGGGTCTGCCACATTGCAGGCAAATTCTTTACCATCTGAGACACCAGGGAAGCCCCAAAGACACTGTACTGATGGCTAATAAAAAAAAATCAGCAGATATAGTGAGGAGATCTAATGTAGGATGAGCAGACATGTCAATTAGAACTCATTGGGTTAAATATACTGTACGGTGGCTGATGGGGAATAAACAGACAAAACGGTGAAAGCTAACATGGAGTCAAGAGCCACTGCAATAGGTCTAAAGGAAGGTGATAAAGATACACTGCTGGGAGCCAATGGAAGGGAGGTTAGTAGCCACCATGCTGAGTCTAAAGGAGGGCAAAAAGATGTGATAGTAGATCATCAGTCACTAAGCTGTAAGCAAAAGGAGTGAAAAGATGGTATGCTGTGAGCAAATGGGGGTCAGCAAAAATTGTAATGACAGCTAAAAGAGGTGGCGAGACATGGGAGTGAGCAGACTCTGCTGGAACAAAAAGTGGAAGAAGACAAGCTATTGTGAGCTAATGGTAGGTTAGCAGACATTGTGCTCTTGACTAGTGGCAGTAATAAGAACTGCTATAAACTAATGAGGTGTTAGTAGACACTGTGCAGACATGTCATGGGTATAAAACTACATCATGGTAGCTAATGGAGTATGAGGAGAGACTATCATACTTAGGCTATCAGGAGCCACATACATACAGTAGTGTTGGCCAGTAGGGTTATCACATAAGTGATGGTAGCTAATGGAGGGCCAGCACAACCCGCCACAGAGCCTTAGTAAAGGTCATTTTTCATGGAGCAAAACCATTTCTAAAGCCTTGAAAGAATGAAGTCTCCCAGTGCCAATGTCTTTCATCTGATCTAGTGGTCGATATTCTTGGTTTTTCTCCCAGGCAGCCTACATCTGACTCCTGATAAGGAAATGGGAAACTTTTTATTGTTGTGCTTTAAAGTTTTAATTGAAAGATAATTTACATACAACACAATGCACAAATCTTAAATTTAATCATTTGATGACTCTTGTGTATTCTCATTAACACACACTCAGTCAAGATACAGAATAGTTCCATCATGCCCAGGGAAGTTCCCTCCTACCTCTTAGGAGTTAATTCCTACCCCAGAGGCAACCACTGATCTGCTTTCTGTCACCATAGATTATTTTTTTTTCATGTTTGACATTTTCCATAATAACAGTCATTTTAAAACATCAGATTTAATTTTTTAATGGATGAGCTGAAGATTGGAAGAAGTGAAGAGATGGCATCTTGATAAACATAATGCTTAGTAAACAAGGGTGAGGGCATGCTATATACAAAGTGAGAAAAGTGTAATATGTATATTCAAGTGTATGCTGTATTGGGGGGCATCTAACAATTAATTCAAATACCTTGGGTTGTCGTAATCATTATGGAACAGTCAGGGGAAAAAGCAAAAAAATTATGTAATTTAGCATCAATATTTATTATGGCACAGTGCTACCAAAAGTAAAGGATTTGTTTCTGCTTATCAAAAAAGTACAAGGGGAAACATTCACAAGGTTGAGAAATTTGTCATTGACAGACCTCCACTAAAGAAAACTCTATGGTGACAAGTGCTCGGGCCTGGTGGACTGGGAAGACCCAGAGGGATCGGGTGGAGAGGGAGGTGGGAGGGGGGACTGGGATGGGGAATACATGTAAATCCATGGCTAATTCATTTCAATGTATGACAAAAGCTACTGTAATGATGTAAAGTAATTAGCCTCCAACTAATAAAAATAAATGGAAAAAAAAATAAAATAAAGTAAAAAAAAAAGAAAACTCTAAAGGATGTTTTCCAGGCAAAGAAGAAAATGATCATGAAGGAAATGAGAAAAATTAAAGAGCAACCAAAGTGGTAAATATGTAGGTAAAACAAAATGAATATATAAAACAAAAGTGTTTTCTGGGGAGACATACACACGTGTATACACACACACACTTAACATATAGATAGAAACATATATTACATATATATATATATATCCCATAATGCATCATTATATTTTAAAATATATGTATATACATATATATGAGCAAATTTTCTATTAAAAGAACTTTCAAAGACAATTTCTTAGAGAAAACCATAAAATACTACTTAAAATTTAATAGATTTTAAATGAGTTAAATAAAAAGACAAACACATTCAAGGATGGAAGGGCTTAAGGCCATTTTACACCTTTCAGATGGGCAACAATTTATCAAAAAATAACAGATAAGTCCTAGTGAATATGTGGGAAAATGTAAACTTTTTCTCAAACTGCTCATGAGAGTGTAAAATAGTGCAATTTTTAAAAACTTTAATATTTAGTCAAGTTGAAAAACTTCTATATCAATCAGAACCCAGCTAGGAGACAGAAACCATACCAGTTATTTTAATAGAGAGAATTTATTTAAAAATTTTTTAATTAGTTATGAAGTTACTAACCAACTAACTTAAAAACAAAGAGAACATTAAAATTCTCATGGACTCAGCAACTGCAGAAAGCAGTGGGACTAGGGTAAAAAGGGAAGAAGTTGGAATTACTAAAAATAGAAGGTTGTAAGTGGGGTCTCATGTGACTGAGATTCATAGTTCTAAGGAGGTGGCACTAGCCAGATGTTGCAAGTGTCTCTGAGGGGGTGCAGTACCATAGAGCTGTTAGTGCTGGGAAAGTGCAAACTGGGTTAAACTGCTACTACCATGAGGATCTGCTGCTTCCCAAGTGAAGAAGCAATGCTGGGCTGATACTCAGATAAACAGGGAGCCAACTGGAACTGAAAAAAAAAAAAAGAGCAAGTCCCTTCTTCTGTCCATAGGCTCAACATTTATATTTCATATCTTTATTGGCAAGACCCAACAGAGAGTAGCAGCTGGCAAGACAGGAGTGTGTTCTATAGAGTCATGGCCCCAGCATCACAAAGCCCTGGTATAGAAGGGCAGGTTTGGAACTGGGGCACAATAGATTAATAACTGGCATACTGCCTACACCCTATGACCCATCATTGCCACTTCTAGATTTAAATACTAAACACAGAAATGATACAAATGCCTTTCACTAGGGAAATGGAGAGATAAATAAACCAAAGCTATATTTACCAACATGGATAGATCTTGGAAAGGTAACATTTCTTGAAAAAAGCAAGCTGCATAAACAAAAATAGTGTGATACTACTGATGTAAATTTTTTAAAATATAGCATTATATATTGAAGACTTCATATTATACAGAAAAAACTTAGGGTAGATTAAAATTTTCAATGTTGAAAATGAAACCTTCACTTTAGAACAAAGTACAGGAGAATATTATCACCTTGAAACTGATAACATGAAAACATAAAACCTTAGGCAGAAGAAAAGAGTTAACAAATTAAAGAACCAGTCACAGACTGAGAGGAGATATCTGAAACACAAATGACTGAAAAGGGATTTTTATGTTCTCATATATTTTTTAAAGGACAAGGAAAACAACATTTAAACCAAAAAGTAAAAGACAGCCTATTAGAAAACAATAAGCAAAGGATATGAACAGTCATTGCACAGAAGAAATATAACAATGACCAGTCAACAGGTAAGCTGATTCTCAACCTTACCACCAATTAAGGGAATCCAAATGAAATGAAAACAACAATAAGCCACTCCCTAAGGGGATCAGGACAATTTTCACACCAAGGCAGGAGCCATATTGTTACAGGTATACTCTGTGTGCCCCAGTAATCAGATGGCCAAAAGGGCTTGACCAAATGGTGAGGGGAGTCTTCTTAGAGAAGCTTTCTCCACAGTACAAGGCAAGGGCTGGCCTAAGTGAGTTCTCTGATGTTCTGTGAGGTGTGCCTTCTGGCAGAAAGCTTTCCCACATTCTTGATATTCGAAGGGTCTCTCCTGTGTTAATGAGGCATACTTTCACAGAAAAGGCATTTCTTCATTCACAAAGTTTCTCTCCTGTGTGAGTTCTCTGGTGTTGACAAAGGGATTTCTTCATACTGAAGATTTTTCCACATTCACTACATTCATATGGTTTTTCTCCTGAATGCATTCTCTGATGTTCAATGAGGCGTGCTTTGACATAGAAGGCATTACCACATTTGTTACATTCATAAGGTTTCTCTCCTGTGTGAATTCGCTGATGTATTCCAAGAGATGAGTGCACACTGAAAGATTTCCCACATTCATTACACTGGTAGGGTTTTTCACCCGTATGAGTTCTCTGGTGATTATTAAGAGTCATCTTCAATCTAAAAAATTTCCCACATTCACCACATTTATAGGGTTTCTCACCTGTATGAATTCTTTGATGTTGGTTTAGGGATTTTTTTGCACCAAAGTTTTTCCCACAAGCACCACATTCATAGGGTTTCTCCCCTGTGTGAGTTCGCTCATGTTGAGTAAGGGATATCTTAACACGAAATGTTTTCCCACATTCGCCACATTCATAGGGTTTCTCCCCTGTGTGAGTTCTCTGATGAATCATGAGGGTTGCCTTCTCAGAAAAGGTTTTCCCACAATCAGTACATTCATAGGGTCTCTCTCCTGTATGTGTTCTCTGATGTAGAATGAGTTGTGACTTCCTGCCAAAAGATTTTCCACATTCATTACATTCAAAGGGCTTCTCTCCTGTGTGAGTTTTCTGATGAGCAATGAGGTATGATCTTGCACTAAAAGTTTTTGCACATTCACCACATTTATAGGGTCTCTCCCCTGTGTGTATTCTCAGATGTTCAATAAGGTTTGATTTCCTGCAGTAAGTTTTCCCACATTCATTACATTCAAAGTTTCTCTCTCCTGTGTGTGTTCTTTTGTGTCCAACAAAGCTCGTTCTCTTGTAGAAGGCTTTCTGATATTCGAGAGTTTGATCCAAAGTTTGAATCTTCCGATGCTGAAGGTCATTATCATGCCTGAGGGAATTACTCCAAACAGAACTGTTGGCACCTGGCAGTGAAAAAGAGCCTTTAAAAATAAATCAGATCATATCACTCTCACTCAAAACCCAACATAGGCTTTCCCTTGTCACAGTATAAAAGCTTAACAAAGCCTATAAAAACTCTACATAATTTAGTCCCCAGCTAACTCTCAGATCTGTGGAAAATTCTGAAAGAAACGGGAATACCAGACCACCTGACCTGCCTCTTGAGAAACCTGTATGCAGGTCAGGAAGCAACAGTTAGAACTGGACATGTTAATTGAATTCCCAAGAGGTTAAGTGCATTGTTNGGAAGGACTGATGTTGAAGCTGAAACTCCAATACTTTGGCCACCTGATGTGAAGAGCTGACTCATTTGAAAAGACCCTGATGCTGGGAAAGATTGAGAGCAGGAGGAGAAGGGGACGACAGAGGATAAGATGGTTGGATAGCATCACTGACTCAATGGACATGGGTTTGGGTGGACTCTGGGAGTTGGTGATGGACAGGGAGGCCTGGAGTGCTGCGGTTCATGGGGTCGCAAAGAGTTGGACATGACTGAGCGACTGAACTGAACTGAACTGAACTGAACTCTCAGATATCACTTCCTAACACTCTTGATCCATACCCAACCTTGATCCACACTAGCATCTTTGCTATTCCTATTATATATCCTTCAGACTAGACTGGCACTATCTGTTCTCTCTGCTCAAAATAGTACTAAAATCTACATGGCTCTGTCTCACTTCACTGATGTTGGTGTACTAATGTTAACTTCCCCAAAGAGTCTTCCCTGACCACATTCTACAAAAGCACAAACCATCAATGTTTACTCTTTTAATCTTGATTTTCTTTTCTCCACCAAACATCATGTATTCATTTGTTTCTGGTCTCCTTCCCTCATTAGACTGCAAGCTCCAAGAGAACAGAGATATTACTTTACTCACTATTGGACCCCCCCCTCCACCTAGAAGGTGACCAGCATACAGTTGACCCTCATTTAAGATTTGGTAGATGACTAAATGAATGTATGAATGAGTGCCTGACAATAGAAGGCATCCAAGGCAATGGAGGGAAGGAAGACAATTGAGAATACTAAAGAGAAATAGACTAGCTAAGAATAAATATCTAAGCTGAGGCAGGCAGGGAAATACAAGAGTGGTAAATAACTACAAAAATCAAGATAAAATAGTAGAGAGCACTTAAGTGTGAACATGATATGGGGATGTAGGATTTAGGTATCTAAAGCATATAGACCTCCTGTCTTCCAGTCATTTTCAAAGAGCAAGGGCCTCTGAAAAGAGATTCCTGAAAAATACTACCGAAACATAACGTTTGATTTGAATTCCTGAAGTCTTATTTCTCCTACTTTTCATATGTTGAGTTGTTGCTCACTCACCTGTGTAACCATGGTCTGAGGACTCCTCCTCTAATATCCACAGTTCTTCCCCTCGCTCCAACTTGAAGATCATCTCTGGTTTGGCCACGCAGAGGCCTGTTAATGGGAAATGGCACAGGACGTGGGCCAGGTTGCCTGAGCTTTAGGGCCTCTGATGGAGGAGAAAGGTGCATCTTCATGAACTGCACAAGGAAGGGTACCCACTGAAACCTTTCACTGGGGGAAGTGAGAACACACACACTCTTCCTGGTGCTCCAAACTGATAAATTATCTGTGACCCCTTGAATCTAGAACTAAAGTATCACTGAACTCTACAAAGGCTGCCCAGGTTATAGCAACCAAGAAAGGAAAAACATGCTACCAGGAGTTAGGTGGACAATAATCCTCACCCACAGATGCCAGGTTGCTGTAGTTCTCCAGCATTACATCCCTGTGCATGGTCCTCTGGGCAAGATCCAGGCTGTGCCACTCCTGTCGGGTAAAATCCACAGCCACATCTTCGAATGACACGGATCCCTGTAACAACAATCTGCAATGATCAGGATAGAACACCTGGAAAAGATATGTGGGAACTAATTCTTCCAGTAGAGCACTTTTGAAAGTTGACTAGAAAAAGCTTCACTGGTGTCAACTGAAAAAAATGTACAATGTGAGAGTTGTGAGTTAAGTTTTATTTAGGGCAAAATGAGAACTATAGCTTGGGAGACAGCATTTCAGACAGCTCTTAGGAACTGCTCTGACAAGGAAAGGGGAGGTCAATATATATGTGATTTTGGTGAAGGGGGTAGACACAAGAGGCAGACGTCTCTGTTAACGATCTTAGTGCTTTTCTAGATATGAGAAGATACAAGAAATTGGGTTCAGAACATATTCACCTGAAAATATCTATCTGAAGGCCTGCTCTACCAGTTTTTTCCAGAGCACGGATTGTCTCATTCCTGATCTCTGCCCTCAACTCCTTTCAGGATATGCTGAAGGTCAGTGACTACAGTGGCTAGTGATCTAATCCTTATAGAGGCAAAGAACAAGTGACAATCTTTAGCTGGCACTAGAAACCTGACTCTGTCTTGCTTGATACTATTCTTTGGGAGAGAAAAACCCAGAACAGTCCTGCTAGTGTATTAACTTTTCAATTCATGGAGAAAAGACCACTGACTGCTGAGTTAATACTCTGTGTCTGGAACTGTCCTAATTGCTGAGGAAATAAAGACAGTGCCTGCTCTCAACCCAGTAAAGAGACTTGCATAGGTATGCATTGTTTTATAGCACTTTGCTTTATTGTGCTGCAGAGATACCATGTTTTTTTCACAAATTGAAGGTTTGTGGGGACCCTGCACTGACCAGATGATGGTTAGCCTTTTCTAGCAACAGAGTATTTTTTTAATTAAGGTATGTACATAGTTTTTTTTTAGACATGTTATTGCACACTTAATAGACTACAGTATAGTCAGTGTGACTTTTATATGCACTGGGAAACCAAAAAATTCACGTGACTCACTTTATCACGATATTTGTTTTATTGCAGTGGTCTGGAAACAAACCTGTAGTATCTCAAAGGTATGCCTGTATATGAACACACCCTTGCCATGAGATGTTACAGGAGCTATGCTGGACATGGGTACAAGGTGCAATGGGCTTTTACAAGGGATGGAGTAAGATTACACCTTGTGTTAACAGACTGAACTTCACTTGGGGAGGCAGAGCTTTGAATCCTTAAACAAAAATATAATCTTCCTCACAAATATGGGGCAGTAACATGAAAAACAAAGGCAGGAAGACACGAAACATGAAAGATGAGTTAAGAGAACTACATATAGCACAATATGACAGGAAAATAGTGCTTTGGACAGTGATGAGATAAAGGGCTACAGAGACATTCAGGGGCAGGCAGTGGAGGGATTACCAACTTTTTTTTTTTTTCTAAAGATCATCAATCTCCAAAATACTTGACTATACGATCAGAATATTTTCTGACCTTCCCACAATATATTTACATTTATAAATTACACAGAAGTACTGTCAAGTAAGAGAAAGGAAGAGAATATCACTCCTAGGATAACAGCATGAGCAGCTGAGTTGAGGCTGGTGCCATATATGGTGGTGGTGGTGGTTTAGTCGCTAAGTGGTGTCTGACTCTTGCAACCCCATGGACTGTAGCCCTAGCCTTCCAGGCTCCTCTGTCCTTACAAGTTCCCAGGCAGTAATACTGAAGGGGTTTGCCATTTCCTTCCCCGGGGATCTTCCCAAGCCAGGGATTGAACCCACTTTGGTGCATTGTAGGGGCTTCCCTGGTGGAGCTGGTGGTAAAGAACCCACCTGCCAATGCAGGAGATATAAGAGATGCTGGTTCAATCCCAGGGTCAGGAAGATCCCCTGGAGGAGGACATGACAACCCACTCCAGTATTCATGCCTGGAGAATCCCATGGACAGAGGAGCCTGGGAGTCTATGGTCCATAGAGTCGCAAAGAGTCGAACACGACTGAAGCGACTTAGCACGCATGCACGCTTCTGCACTGCAGGCGGTCTCCAGCACTGCAGGCAGATTCTTTACTGCTGAGCCACTAGGGAAGCCCCGGTGCAACGTACTGAAATTAGCAAAAAAGGAACACAATGGGCTGGCAGAGGGGGAGATTGAAATGGATCTTGGACCTGAGCTGGAGTGTTTATGTCACATACTGATAGAGATGTCCAGCTGGCAGATTAACATATGATGCTGGAGCTCTGAAAGAAGGCTAGGACAGACCAAGGATTTAGAGGCAATAGCATTTCAGTACTAGCTGAAGGCACCATGATAACTGGATGGCTAAGAGAACACAGAGCTTGAAGAGAGGCATCAAGTGCATGGTCAGTGGGTATACCAACATGACATGAAGATTGAAAAGGAGTTGGGGGGCTCCTGTGGGACAGAGAAAGCCTCTCTTTTCTTTGTCATGGAGTCCTGTTCCAAAGTAAATCCCAGTACCAAAGCTGCAACCCCACAGTAGCAGGCCCCTCAGACTCCAAGGGAGAATCCTCTTCTTTGGCCAGAGGAATAATGTTCTGAAGAGTGTTAGAAGGATCCCCCATTGCCTTTTTTATAACCTCTCACAACTTGGCCCCAAGGGCAAACCTAGTTGTAGAAAGTGAATGCCAGGGTAGAGATGAAAGCCCTAACTGTCCAACTAGAGGAAGGGGAAGCCCTGGGAACAGAGGTGTGGGGAAGATTGCCCTAATAATATAGCTTCAAAATACATGAAGCAAAATTTTAAAAATCTGGAAAAAAATAGGACAATCCACAAACATGGCTGCCAACCTTTATCACCTCTCTTAGTGATTAAAGGAGCTAACTGGTAGATAAAAAAATCAACAATGATATAGAAAACTGAACACTACCAATCAACCAATGATTTCGTAAAACATTCCACTCAAAATTGAGAGATTAACTGTTTCTTCAAGAACACATGAAATGTTCACCAAGCTAGACCATATCCAGGATCATAAAACAAATCCAAAAGCAATCAAAGGGCCCACTGGGTACCAAGGGAAATTGACTTGGAACAATCAACTCTGAGATATATCCTAATTAAAACTATTAGAATTTAAAGACAACGAAAAAAATTCCTCAGGGCCTCCAGGCAAAAAAAAATTAGATTGGCATCAATTTCTCAAAAACAACATACAAAGCAAGGCAATATAGCAGTTTCAAGAAACTTAAGAAGAGAGGGGGGATCGGGATGGGGAATACATGTATATCCATGGCTGATTCATGTCAATGTATGACAAAAACCACTACAATATTGTAAAGTAATTAGCCTCCAACTAATAAAAAAATATAAATAAATAAATAAAAATAAAAAGAAACTTAAGAAAATACAAATAAAGGAAATTATATCCAGCCAAAGATACCCTTCAAATATCAAGGGTTTTAGGAAAAGTTGTAAATATGCCAGAATATGTGTGCCCTTCATAAGGAATTTGCTAGAGCTGCACTAATATGGTAGCCACCAACCATATGTGGCTATTTAAATTTTGATTAATTAAAGTGAAAGAAAATTTAAAAGTCAGTTCTTCAGTCACACTAGGCACATTTCCAGTGCTCAGTAGCCACATGTGGTTGGTTACAGTATTAGACACCACAGATACAGAATATTCCCATCACTACAGGAAGTTTTATTGTATACCACTATACTAAACAATAGGGCTTCCCTGATAGCTCAGTTGGTAAAGGATCCACCTGCAATGCAGGAAACCCCAGTTCGATCCCTGGGTTGGGAAGATCCCCTGGAGAAGGGAAAGGCTATCCACTCCAGTATTCTGGCCTGGAGAATTCCACAGGGTTGCAAAGAGTTGGACATGACTGAGTGACTTTTTATATTTTATATATATATATATACTAAATAGTGAGCTTCAACCAAAAACAATGAATGGGAAAATTCTGGCAAAAGGACAGACAATAAGTATTTCATATATTTAACTGCAAAGCTAAGACTAAAAAATAATTTTAAAATGTAACTAAAACTGAACAAGATCATTGTTGTATAGGGAACAGATGAGAGACAAATTAGATAGTAAAAGATTAATAAAGAAAAAAGGAAAAGGGAGGGGATATATGTATACTAATAGCTGATTAACATTGTTGTATAGCAGAAGACAACACAACACTGTAAAGCAATTACCCTCCAATTAAAAATAAATTTTTAAAAAAAGATAAACTGGTATAGCCATTATGGAGAACAGCACAAAGGTTCCACAAATAATTAAACTAGAACTACCATATGATCCATCAGTCCCACTTCTGGGACTATCTGAAGGAAAGGAAATCACTATCCCAAATATTCATTGCAGCATTATTTGCAATAGCCAAGATATGGAAACAACCTAAGTGTCCATCAACAGATGAATGGATAAAGATCTGGTATATAAACAATGGAATATTATTCAGTCATGAAAAAGAAGTAAATCCTGCCATTTGCAACAACAGGGATGAACCTGGAGGACATTACACTAAGTGAAATAAGTTAGACAGAAAGACAAATACTGTATGATCTCACTAATATGTGGAATCTAAAAAAAAAAGTCAAACTCAGAAGCAAAGAGAGAATGGTGGTCACCAAGGGTATGGGGGAAAGGGGAGAGATATTGGTCAAAGAGACAAAGTTACATTTACGGAGAATAAATAAAGTCTAGAGATCTAATATACAAGCATGATGACTATACATAATAATATTATACTGAACAATGGAAATATGCTAAGAGAGCAAATTTCAGGTGTACTCATCACACACAAAAAATGGTAACTGTAAGGAGATGATAAGTTAATTAGTTTAACTGCAGTAATCATTTCACTATGTATATGTATAGCAAATCATGTTGTACATCTTAAATATATACAATTTTATAAATAAATATGTAAATAAAAAGATAAAAGGGTTGAGTAAGAATACCACAGAAGGGATAAATACAAAGGTAACCACCAGAATGGTCTTCCCTGGTGCCTTAGACAATAAAGGAGGCTTGGATTTGATTCCTGGGCCAG